CCCAGACACTCACTGCCCCTGCATTTGGTTCAAGTTTATCCCAAACAAATCCAGTTCCAAACACTCCAGCCTGTCCTTACTGAGACTCACATGGAAACAAACTGGATTTCTCATGAACTCTACAGGTAACTATCACAGAAAAGCAAACTTAACTCTAGCTTATTAGTACAATCAGCTTCGTTTTGGCTTATCACAGTCTCTGAGGGGAGGGGAGCACTCCCGGCAGTGTCCCAGGGATGGGAAAGCCCCGTGGCCACCCAGTGAGCAGAAAGCTGCAAACGCAGCTCCAGAGCCTTCTCCTGGGAGCGGGAGGTGCTCGGTACAGCAGATGGAAGACGTGCAGCAGCGGCGCCGCCCGGAGGATCCTCTTCAGGAGTGCTCGGCAGGGCCGGCCCCCCCGTGCCCGTTGACGTGGGGGTGCGACGGGGTGGAGCTCTGGGAGGGAGCAGCGCTCTGCTCCGCGGCGGCAGCTGCCAGAGGCATCGAGAGGCTTTCGGGGGACAGCGTGGCAAAGTCTTGTCTCCAGTAGGCTTCGCACAGGGGGAGGTCGTTGCTGTCACACAGACTGTAGCTTTTCCAGAACAAACAAGCCCAGGAAGGAGAGGCAGCAGGTGCCGCGTAAGGGGGGGTGGGAGGGAGGGAGGGGGGAGCAAGACAGAAGCAAAGCGTTAAGAAAATGACAAAAACACGTTAATGGGTGTAAGGTCTGTGCTCACAAATTCACCACGAGTGGCCTGCACTAACACACCCCTTAAGGGCGGGTCTGGTGAGGATCTGGTAAGAATCAAGGGGACTTCAGAGAAAAAACCGTTGCTACAGACTCCAACAGAGGCTCAGTCCTAATTCAGATGCTCAAAGTCCCTGGAAAGATCTGGGCTTTAAAGTCCTAGCCCCCCAAAAGATGGGAGTTCTACTGATCTGAGGAAGGACCTCACCCATCACTACCTTACTTGGAGCTAGATCATAACCTCTGTGAGGAAAAGAAATAGACATCTTGCTCCTACTTTATTTTCAGGAAAATAAAAAAGCTGGCACAACCCTTTTAGGGCCTGTCCCTGTCATAACAAAGAGGAAACTTCTCTGTACCTGTGCCCTTTCAGTAAAGTGCTCCACAGAAGGTCTGGGTCTGCTACTGAAGCTCCTCAGCCTGATTATAAAGTACTGATGGCTCCTACCATTTTCAGCAGAACCTGAGCTGTTCTTCTAAAAGCAACTGGCTGGATGTGACCACTCATGACTATAGAGCTGGATGAACCAGCAATGTGGGCAGTAATGGTTTTAAACAACTGGCTAATTCTGTGCTCTGAGGAAAACACAATGTGGAAGGGCTGAAACTAGAAAAAAATTATGGAAGAGACTGAAATAAAATCAAAACAAATTCCAAAGAGAAGAAGGAGCTGCACACACAAAAGACACCCAAGACAAAGTGAGTGCTGAAGCAGAAAGCAGCTTGCAGAGTAAAACAAACCCAATGGGTCAAGTGATTTTGTTGTTGCAGCTTTATTTATACTTTAGTGTATGGACTTGAATAGATGCTTAGGGAAATATTTTAAGCGTAGAAATATGAGACACTTCAAATTGCACAAACATGAAACATGTTGAGATCTACCCCCACACTCAAGACAGCTCCTGTCATCTCAGAGGAGAGAGCAATGGAACGAACATAAGTGCAAGTCTGGGGTTTAGGATAAGAGAAGACAAGCTGGAGTTACTGCTTTGGGGAAGAAGCACACAAAGCACTGCTTGCAAGCATCTACTTTAGAGCTCTTTTCTGGCTGGTTTTGCCTTAGAAGTCAGTGGACAGAGGCTTGATAAACATCCCTTGGAAGATCACCCTTCCTTACAGTCCCCAACTCACAGTGGAGCTGGGTTCAATTAGCAAAGACCTTCAGGACTGAACCAGAACTTTGACTCCTATCAGTCCTAGATCTCAGGCCATGGTTTCCAAGGAGAACCTGGCCACAGCATCCACCACATCATGGCAGGTGAGTTACTACGAAAATTTTAGCTGCTTCAGAAGCAAAAATGCTTCTCCTGCTGCCCCAGTTGGAACAATTCAACAGCCTGAGCTTTGCCTCTCACATAATACTCCTCAAAAGTTGGGGTGAATGAGCAGCTGCTGCACAGCCCACAAGTGCACTGGCCAGTCTGCTGCCCTGTGCTGTGACAGAGGGTTCCTCAATGTGTGGAAGGGACTTCACTGCTCCCCCTTGGAGCATCCAGCCATGGAACAGCTCTAGGAAACGACTTGAACACAGGAACTGAAATCCTTCAGAACAACCAGCTTTGGTTTCAAGGACCTGCTTTCAGGTCTCCTCACCAAAACCCCCACGTACACATAAAAAGCCCAGAAATGAAATCTAACCTGAGACACACCCTCATAGTTACTCGCTGGGGGCTGGGGGCTGCTGCACAACAGCAGTGACAGCTGCTGGGCAGGAGACACTCCCTGCCACAGGATTTCTGCAGTGCACAGGAACCAAACCATCTCCCACAGAGGAGCTGCTGCAGGGATCTCACTTTCCTACAGCCTTCCCTGGAGGAACAACCTCAGAGGAACTAACCAGTGACCTTCAGGGAAACTACAGGGGAGCAGTTTGGCAGGAGGACCATGTGGGACCCATGTCCTGGCCTCATGGGACTGCACACATCTACAAATCCTGTGGGATCAAGCCCCAGCAGAAAGTAACACAGTGCAGAGAGGCAACCCCAGCTGGGCTCCCATGACAGGACAGAATTTCTGTTTGTGGGCAAACCAGCTGTTGAATTCCAGCCATTTGAACATGATTATCACTATGACTGCATGACTTAACAGAAACCCTTTTTCCCCATGTTAGACAATGAGGTTTCATTAAAAATATCTTAGCACTCTAATTATAAAAAGACTCTAAATAAATCACTGTTTCTGAATTAACACACACACAATTTCTTTGGTGCAGAAGAAGGCAGGAAAGAGCACAGGAAGGGAGAAAGTGCTAAAAGCAAGTGAGGAAGTGCTACATGGTAACAGGCTTCAGTGGAGGGATCACAGCTCTGTAAAGCTGCAAAGTTTCCTCACCTTGTGACCTCTCTTCTAAGAAAGACCACAAAGACAAGTCCGTTTGGCACCCACCAACACCTGTCCCAGATGTTAGTTCTGTTCCTAAGGGCTGGTCTACATTATATCTGGTGCCAGGTAGGTGAGCAGACCACGCCAGCATGGTCAGAACCCCTCACCACGGTGGCACTCTGGTGACAGGGTGAGAGAAATAAGCCTGACACACGTGAGGCACTGTCACCCCCCATCACTCTGGATAGAGCTCAGGGATGAAACATTTCTAGGATCCCTTGACACCCTCCCAAAAAAATGAGTAAACTTTGAAAAACAACTCTTAAGTGTTTACCTCTAGTTTCCTTCCTATGTCATAACTGTTCCTAAGCTATATTGAATCTTTTCACTCTTAAAATATGTATATTACATATAAATAATGGCCAAACTTCCCAAAATATCAAGCAATTAGGGGTTTAGTTGACCCAGCTAGAGTTATAGGCATTCAGCATTTTTAGAAAGAGAAAGGTAAAAACAGAAAACCTGGTCATTAAAGTTCTAAGTAAGATTTTTTTAAGTTAAATTTTTGTTTAGAAGTCATAGCATTATTGTACTGACTTCACTTAGCTTGCACAGTGCAGCCAAAATAATCAGGTTTTCATTTGTTCTCTCCTGCTTTACTGCATCATCAACTAGAAGTGCTGGAGTGCATGACAGAAAACAACATAAAAAAATAAAGTGTCTGAATTCTCTAAGGCCCATTTTCTAAAAGTCTTTAAAAAATATTAATAATCTCACAAACAAATCACTATTAAATCTTTCATAGAAAACCCTATCATGATACTTCATAAATCAATGAAACTGAGCAAATCTTTGCTGCTCATTTCAAATGTCCACCCCAACAGGCAGCCAGGGGGACTAGAAAGGAAAAGGCACAATGTGTCACCAGGTCACTTGGGAAAGGACTCATTTAACATGAGGACCCAGCTCAGCAAGCTGGTCTCTCTAGGGCAAGAGACAGAGGCTCCTCCACAGGGATACTCAGACAGAAGCCTGTACCCCAAGGAAATTAATCTACTTTTACAATGATTAAAAGGAAGCCTCAGCAAATTATCTGTCAAATCTAGACAACTAGCAGGCACCTTGAGTTGGATGCTGTGAAAACCTCCTTGACTGTGACATTCATACCCTGTCAAGTACCTACAAGGAAAAGACAGTCACTTTAGTTGCAGAATAAGAGTTTGACCTAATTAAGGACAGGAGTTAAACTTTGCTGGGAACATTCTCAAGACCTCTACTCTAAGGACTACTTGTTTGTCTGGACTAACCACCCCAAAAGGGCTGCAGTCATAAGGCAGAAGTCCACTGCCCTATTTGTACCTGGAAGAGTAATATTCTTCTTCTAGCTCGTACAGGTCAATGGAGATTTCATCCCGTAGTGCAATCAACTTCTTGTCACACTCCTCCTGCAAGCTCCTCAGCTGCTGGTTGCGCTGGTTGATGGCTTCATTCACAGAGGGAAAATCATTGAGGATCAAGAACTGCTTCAGGTCTGACACGAGTTTCATCAGGGACTCACCAGCTCGGACCTTGCAGCAGGAAGGAAATCACACAGCACATCAAACCAGGGCTTTGCTCCAGTTTAACACATCTCTCCAAATGCTGCTTCAGCCCAAGCCTTGAATGAAGTAGAAACTCCTATATTATGAAAAAATTGAGCTGACAAGCCAGGCTACCTTGCTTCCTCCTAGTGAAGGAATTAACCCAACAGCCACTGCAAGTATCAGGTTACTCTCCAAGCAGCATAACTCGTGAGAGCTATAACAGCTGCATTAGATGCAACAGTGAGTCCAACAACACCTGCAGGATTGTGCTTCCCCCAGCTTGAACACCCAAGTGCTACTCACAATGTTTGCAGCTCTGACGTGCATCTCATAGTTATCCTGTTCACCCTGGGTTGCTCGAGAGACTTGAGTTTCGTCCTCAATCTAAAGAAAAAAGCACATGTATCCACCTTTACATGCTAAAATCCTGACACACCGTTACTACATTACAATGCATTTTATGACTCCTGTCCGCAAGAACCCTCTTCCCTGAAGTCCACCCCAGGGAGAACAGAGAGAAAGGTCTCCCCCCACATCTCTCCAAATGCTGCTTCAGCCCAAGCCTTGAATGAAGTAGAAACTCCTATATTATGAAAAAATTGAGCTGACAAGCCAGGCTACCTTGCTTCCTCCTAGTGAAGGAATTAACCCAACAGCCACTGCAAGTATCAGGTTACTCTCCAAGCAGCATAACTCGTGAGAGCTATAACAGCTGCATTAGATGCAACAGTGAGTCCAACAACACCTGCAGGATTGTGCTTCCCCCAGCTTGAACACCCAAGTGCTACTCACAATGTTTGCAGCTCTGACGTGCATCTCATAGTTATCCTGTTCACCCTGGGTTGCTCGAGAGACTTGAGTTTCGTCCTCAATCTAAAGAAAAAAGCACATGTATCCACCTTTACATGCTAAAATCCTGACACACCGTTACTACATTACAATGCATTTTATGACTCCTGTCCGCAAGAACCCTCTTCCCTGAAGTCCACCCCAGGGAGAACAGAGAGAAAGGTCTCCCCTCTTCCCCTCAGGGCCGGCCTTTCTCCCCTCCGAGGTTCTATGTCCCCTCAAGGCCCCTTCTCTCCCCCCAGGGCCCTTGCTTTTCCCTCAGGGCTCCTCTCCCCCCAGGGCCCTTGCTTTCCCCTCACAACCGCCCCTTCTCCCCTCAGTCACTTCCCTCGGGGCTCGCTTACGGCCCAGCCCCACCTTGGCCGTCTTGATGATCTCGGTGAAGTTATCCATAATGGATTTGACATCGTCCTTGAGGCGCTTGTTGTAGGACTGGAGCAGGGTCTCCTTGCTCTGCGGCAGGACCCGCTGCTGCGCCATGGCCGCGATGCCCGCCCCGCCCACCTCTCGCGAGACCTGCCGCCCCGCCGAGACTTCCCACCGCGCCCCGCGCCCCTCCCC